ACAACAGCATATTTTGAACCAGATATCACAATGTGATTATCGAGTGTATTAGTACACGCTATTCTATAGTTCATCCAAAAAAAGTCTTAGCAATATTTTATTCATGTTCTTAAAGTCGCAGTATCAAATATGATTGATGATGTGCTTGTTTTCCAAAACGAAGGCTGCAATTTTCGAATCAATACACCCAAGTTCTGTCCCAGGAAGAAGCCATTCATAACCAGTCTATAATAACAATAATAAATTAATGTAATTAAATAATTTTAAAATCTTATAACAAAATTTACTTACTCCAAATGTTTTGTATTCCTCAAAAATGGAATCACCTCTCGTGATAGAACATTTAAAGATGTATTTCTTCTTGTTTGCTGAATTTCTTGCTCTACGGTTGCATTATTTTCATTTCCGAAGTTTGTTATAGTCAGCAGTTTTTTTTCATTAATCGACGAAATGATATATTCGACAAATTTTGTAAACGAACTCTTTTTTAGTACCAGAAAAAATAAAATATTCCTTATCATCTAAAAATTGATAATTAAGTAATCAGTATTTGACTTTATTGTAATAAAAACTGCAAAAAGTCTTACGACTAGTGATGTGTATCATGTGCATCATGCGCATGAAATTTGAAAAAAATACTGATTTACACATCACAATCACGACAATCTCTAATATTATAAAATGTGGAAAAAAATAAAAACAATAATAATACAAAAAATAATAATAAAAAAATAAAATAATAAAAAATAAAATAAAATAAATAAACCAAAAAGCAAAAAAAAAATAAATAAATAAAATAAAAAGAAACAAAAAAAAAACATAATTCGGGGTGCACAAAGTTGCTATAACGAATAAAAAATGAATTGGCAACTCATAGGACTCCATCTGGTACCGATAAGAACACGTGATGCCATCAATAATTCATCCTAATTCAGCGAATAGATACAATTAGGCTCACACATGGTTGATACCATACCATATTAGCGGTAATCGCATGTATCCTATCCATGTACTATTGTTATCCAACTTACTATTAATTTAAGCTGTTATAATGAATGAAAAAATGAATTGGCAACTCATAGGACTTCATCTGGTATCGAGAAGAACATGTGTTACCATCAATAATTCATCATAGTATAACGAATAGATACAATTAGGCTCACACATGGTTGATACCACACCATATTAACGGTGATCGCATATATCCTATTCGTGTACTATTATTATACAACTTATTATTAATTAGTGCACAAAGCTGTTATAACAGATGAAAAATGAATTGGTAACTCATAGAACTCCATCTGGTATCGAGAAGAACATGTGTTACCATCAATAATTTATCCTAATATAACAATTAGACTCACACATGGTTGATACCACACCATATTAGTGGTGATCGCATGTATCCTATCCGTGTACTATTGTTATAACTTTTTTTCTGAAATATAACTAAACTCAAGCATTATCATTAAATTTAGTAGCATATAAACAAAACAGCTAAACTGAAATTGAGAAATATGCAGAAAAATTCGTACACA